CCTTTCCATTTCTGCTCATCATCCCTTAGCCTGTCTGCTGGGATTTTTACCAGCACAGAGATCTACCGGTGCCAATGGCAGCGGACTTTTAGGTGGCATGGATTCCTGAGACCTTAACATTTCACACAGACTGCTGACAAAAGTCCTCATGATACACTCCGATCCTGAACTCAGAGCTGTTTCCCCCACATCAAAAACTCCTTGTGACTGCAGAATCCATCACAGAGCATTCTGCGGGTGGCTATGCAGCTTTTGCCAGGTTTTAAATGGTTCCTTCATTTGTAGTTTACTACCTAATCAGCCTGTATTTACAATCTCATTCTCTCATTCAAGTGGCTAGGACACAACATGGAATAATTCTTACCTCTTAGAGGTGTTTCATTGTTTCTGATTAAAAATAAATAATGAAACTGAAGTAGGAGAGGAAGGTTGTGTAGGGAGGTTTCTGGAAATATAGGTACAGGACTATATGATTATATCTACAATGTTGTAACAGTCAGGAGAAGAAGATCACTTCCATGCCTTCTGTTTGGAAACTTGCTTCCAGGTACCAGTAGCAATGAGGTAATACAAGCTTCTGACACACGTAGATTCACCGATTTTAATCAGGCCAGAAGGGACCATTGTGATCGTTTAGCCTGACCTCCTGACCCTGTACAACACAGGCCAGAGAATTTGACCCAGCGATTCCTGCCTCAAGCCCCATCGTGTGGGTGAGTTAGAGCAGATCGTTTAGAAAGCTATCCGGTTCTGATTTAAAGACTTCATGCGATGGAGAGCCAGTCACAACCCTGGATAGGTTGTTCCAGTGATCACTAGCCCCGCACCCCACCCACAAAATGTCCACCTTGTTTCTAGCCTGAATTTGTCTAACTTCAGCATCCAGCCATTGGATCCCATTAGAGCCCTCTGCTGTCAGAGATCTTCTCCCCAGGTAGGCACTTGCAGACCATGATCACATAACATCTGACCCTTCTCTTGGGTAAACACAAACAATTCCTTTGTTTGGATAGGGGCCAAACTCTGCCCTCCCCCCATGAGCGGGATGCTGAGCCTGCTCAAGTGACAACAGCAGAACGGAGCCCCCTGGGCGGCCTGGAGAGAAGGACATCGCCAGTGGGACGGAGGGAAGCGGCTGGTACCACAGCAATGGACCACGTCTGGATTTCCCGCTCTCTAGCTCTCCTCTAGGGGCCGACCCAGCTCCCGTGAAAGCCATTGAAATGACTCTCGTGACGCCAGGGAGACTTGGCGCAGGCCCGAGGGCCTCGTACAACAAAGGGTCCCTGTAACAGGGGCTGCCGCCAGCGGAGCCCCCCCTCATGGCCAGGGTGCCTCTACTGTTCCCTTCGCTAGCCTCTTTCAGTCACGGCCCTGCGCAGGGACTGGGGTTTTATCACTTTAACACAATTCTCAAACAAACACAGAAACAACCTTCCAGCCAGGCTCGAGCTGGCACAGCTCTCCTCCCTGGGGACCTGCCCCTTCTCAGGCACCCCTGCAGGAGCCCTCCTTCCCTGCAGCTTCATCCACCATTCCCCCATGGCAGGAGCCCCAGCCCTGCCACTTCCTGCTGCTGCTTTACCCTGGGATCACCCTATTCAACCCAGGGGAGGCTCATCCTGAAATCAGGGCTGGCTTATCCCCAGGCTCTGCAGCCCATGGGCAGTGCCCAAATGTCTACAGCCACCCATTGCCACAGGATGCCTTCCGCCCAGCAGGCATCACAAAGGAGCCGACATTTATATGGAGGTGAGAGAATCCAGTTATATCACATAGGATGGAAAAAATTAGAAGTGTCATAAACCTTCAAGCCTCAGGGCAACCACTAAACAATGGGGGCTTGAAAGAAACCCCCTCTATGGGAGGGATATACCATAATTGTCCATTGCGGGGTTTTTGCACCTTCCCCTAAAACAGCCGGTCTTGGCCCCTGCCAGACAGAGGAGCCTGAGCTAGATGGATCATGGGTCTGATCTGTCCAGGTAATTCCTGTGCACCCGCTGGACTCTGAACTGGACACTTCCCGAATACTTGGGAGTGACTTTCGGGGCTAATTAATGTGCCTGGAAATGTGCAGGTGTGCAATGGAAATGTAGGAGCCCTCGGTAGCAGAAACTGTGAAATAAAGTGTCACACTCCATCAGTTCCTATCACATCCACGCACAGAACACTACCAGACACTTGGATCACACTCACATCTGTTCAGGCATGTGTTTGACACCCATACAAGAAAAATACAAAACGTTGCTTCCTTTATGAGGAATAAAATACTCAGCTCTGAGCCTGGGTACCAGCCGTTTCAGGAAACCCCCTCGAGTTACAGGGCTTTACAGTCTGGTTGTAAAATTTTCCTCTGGGCTAGAAGTTGGAGCCCGAGAGGAGATTCTCTTTGCTGGATGTAGGGTACGCGTGCACATCCTGTTGGGTGCATGAGCAGCAAGCAGAGCACATGGCGAGGAGCCCCTCGAATCTCAGACAGGAGCGTTCTGGTAAACGCCGTGCTGTAAATGGGTGCCCTGTTTTACAATAAAGAACTGAAGTTTTTCTGGCCCCTCCTGTTTATCCTGGAGCTTCAAAATCACTTCCACCTCCTCTAGGGTAAATCCTCATTTCACAGGTGAAAATGGCTGCCGCAGAGTAACTGCATTTGGCCAACACGGCCTTGGAGATTTTTCACACGTGGCATCAGTGCAGAGATGCATAATCTGCTGGGTCAGTGGTTCAGTCAGGATGCTGGCAGATTCAGTCCGTCACTAGGTTATTGACTCCAATAGATGCCCAGTGGTTTCTCCAAGTTTAAATCAAAGAAAAACGAGTGCGGAAGCAGCTCCGAGAAGCTCCGAGGATATCCAAGCATTGATCTAAGAGGAGATATCCCCATATTAATGTTGGAGACCAACTCCCGAGAATGCCAGCCCGCGTCCAGTTCAGTATGGAGGATAACAAGACAACACTGTGCGCCCTGCACACCCAGGAGTCGGCAGCTCTGATGCATTCACACCATGCTCATAGCTTCCAAGTGGGGAGTGAGGGGAAAGGGCTGGAACCAGCAGGCTGGACTCTCCCAAGGCCTGATCAATCAGTGCCAGTTCTCTCTGGAAAGAGCAGTTGCACTATTGATTTGCTTATGTTCATATTGCAGCAACTACACGGGATTTAGGTTAAGAACGGTTAGAGTCGCTAAAGCCATTCCTAAACCAGAACAGCAGATTAAAACCGCTCTGCTCAGAACTTCTGGGAAGGGTGGAGCTGTATCTAGCCCTTACAGTTCACACTTCCATCTACGATGGGCTGCACTGCAGCCCCCCCGGAGCTTTCAGGATCTTTGACTTTGGGTTTGAATCCTGGTCTCACCTTGCTTGTCCTCACTTCTGAATCAGATGCCCCTCGCCCCCGAAGCAATGCCTCCTGGAATGCACCTGGTCACGGCAGAGATAGAAGGACAGTGTGGTCCCTAGGCTAGGAGTCATCCAGCCCAACCTCGCTGGCTTCCCAAGCTCTATGTTGCGCTGCCAATGGCCACGCTCGGCTCTGGCAAGTGTTTCACGGACCCTGCATGTGCTCAGCCGAGTATTTGCTCCAGTACTGAGGCACAAGGCTGTGAGGGAAGGGAGATGAGGCTTTACTTCTGTCAGCCCAGGTTAGCCCTGTAATATTAACATAACTGTAACGCAGTTGAAGAGGAATCCACTAGTTACAGGAAATGATTTACAGGACACAAGACTGCCTTTCAGAGGCCTCAAGTGTACCATAAAAATATATTATAAAGGAGTAATCTTTATCTGAACTGAGGCTGCACGGAGAGAACACATGTCCAGCTGAGAGCAGCATTGAGCTTTTGTTCACTCTGGGAAAAGTCAATGCTCTTCATCTGATTTGATTAATTTTTTTCTTGGCACCGGGCATCTAGTTAATATTTGTGCTCAACAATGGAGTTTTTTTCCTCCAAAGGTTGCTCTTGTCCTGGGCTCAGACAAAGGCAGAGATGCCAATAGTATCTCCCCAGACAAACTGCCCTGCTGGGATTGTGTGTTAACAGCAAGATGTGGAGAAGTCAGACTCCAGTCCCCGCTGTCCCGCCCCACGCTGTGAAAGATTGGCCTATCTCTGGGCAGAAGGTGCCAGGGGAACTAAGCCCACCTGCCCCCCAGCCAGGCTGATGCTGAAGCCCATTTGCAGGAGCCTGCATGATAGGCTGTGGAGCAGCTCCATACCCACGGGAGTCTGAGCAGGAAGGGGCGACTGTCTTCAGGTGTATTTTCTTCTCCCCCTGGGTGAAGCTGAGGTTCCCGGGGTTCATAGTATTCAACGCTGAAAACGTGGGCATTGTGGTTGTGCCCAGAAATGTGTGTACCTCAATGAGCACCCCCAAAATCAGTGTGGACTCTCCAGGGCTCACACACGAGCCAGGCGTAGCATGCAGCTGTAGCTAAGCGTGCAGGGGGGTTTCTGTCCCTAACTCAGGGGTGTGCACTTAGGCACACGCATCTTCAAAATCTGGGCCCTAATGTTCACTTTCAGATCCCCACTGAGTCAAGTCAGCAGGGAGGAAGGAGAGTCCAGAGATTAGGGCACTAGGGGTCAGTTCCCTGCTCCATCAGATATCACTAGTCTCTCTGGCTCCGTATACACAGCAACTAGACACCCACGGCTGGGGCTCGCAGGGCTCGGGCTGGGGGGCTGTTTCACTGCTATGTAGACTTCTGGGCTCAGGCTGGAGCTCGGGCACCAGGACCCTGCAGGATGGGAGGACCCATCTGTACACCCAGGGAATAGCCCTGCCCTGCCCTGCCTCCCAGGGGGCTGTAGGGATAAATACACCACAGACTGCGAGGCGCTCTGCTCCTACAGGATAAGTACCTAAAAGATACCAACAGACTCCAGGGCAAGGTGGAGAATGTAACAAACTCACGTCCACACACCCCAGGAGCGGCTCAGCTAAGCACACCTCTGCGGCCCTCCCCTCGCCCCGAACGTCAGCTCAGGGAGGTTACTGGATGGGGCTCTCGGAGGAGACCAGGTACCTCTTGTTGACATCCCGAAGGACAGGA